CWCTYTTTTTTTATGATGCGAATAAAATTGTKGTTTGTTTGTCTTTTTTGCACAGCGCCTGAATGTAAATAAATGCAAGAAAGAAGACCTCAATTTTATATCATCCTTCAAGTTGAAAATTAACAGGAATGACAAACTAACGGTATCTTAAAGTTTATATATACACTGTATACTACGTAAGGTTACCTACAATGTAACCATGTTGTCCTGTTTAAGTCACTAGGCTGTACGATTTTTTTTTTACACTAGGCAATTGTCGCATACTTTGATATTTTGTTTGACAAGAACGCAACAAATAAGGTAAAGTACTTTTCATTTTCCTTTTTTGTTCTTTAACATGTCACAAAACGTATTTTGAGAATGTGGTTTACTGTCGTTAAGGTTGAATTCAGTACAAGTCCCGCTCATCAATCCACACATTGGAAACAGACCGTGTTTTACTTGGAAAAGCCTATAGAAGTAACTGAAGGTATATAATACAAATTGTTTGGGTTTTAAACCACCACAGTGTCTACTAGTACATACATTTTAAACTTAAACGTAGATATAGCATGAAAAAAACATGAAACGTCTTCTTCAATAACACAAAAGCACCAGAACTAGGATCCAGAACGTAATTTTCAGTTGCTATCCGTGCACTTGCACTCTAGTAATAAGCAGCTTTAACCAAGTAAAAAAAAAAACAGGAAAAAAGAATATTAAAGAATAGTTACTATTCGCACGGTTCTTTACAATTATTTGAGAACAATGAACGCTCTCGTCTACTATTCCCCTCGGGCACCGAAAGACCGACGTTCTTATCATTTAACGTTCATTTGTTTCAGGTCAAGTTTTATCAGGACACATTTCTTGCTACAAGAATATCAAAGATTCGAGATCACTTGATATCAGAATTGAAGCCACTGTAGATGGCGACCCTGACAATATCATCTTTGACCAAGAATATCTTTTACAATGATGAGATGTAACGTGGTGGCAAAGATTGGAGAACTGTTGTGAATTGGTTATTTATTGATTAGTAATTAGACAAAAGAAAGCAAGGGAATTGAAAGGAAGAAAGAGAAGAAGAAATAGGCAGGAAGAAGGAAGAAATTGATAACAAAGAAAAAAGGAAAGAAAGAGGTAAAGTGAAAGTAAACTAGGAAAGAAAGAAATTAGAACACACGTGTTTTTCACAATAGTTGAGTTATAATCATCAATTATTGTAAATGCTCATTAAAGCTAAAATTGACACTACGAGTCCTATCCTTGTGCGAGTTGAACCTGATTACTATCTTCCTTATTGACAACAAGCATCTTCAACGTTCGTTCCAAACGCGGTTACCTACGAATCCGTAAGCTGGAATAACTGTCTCGTTAAATAGACAATTTGGCGCCCAATAGGATATGAATTTACAAAGATATTGTCATTTGTTTCTACTTACAAATACAGCAAGTGAAAAAGAAAGGAGAAAATACTTCTTTTTTCTACTTTTTGTTCATATAACATTAACATAATTGTACTGGTATTTGTGACAGTGTTGATTGTTCAAACACCTGAACAACTCCCTGTCGACGTCTTCCTAAAAATCTGGTTAACGTAACAAAAGTGGGAAGTTACCGCAAAACAATATACGCCAACGCAGAAATTCCAAACTAGCCATCGCCCTCTTGACTTCACTCAATAATACGCTATGTTTATATATCTCTTTTCTTAAAAAAACACAGCCTAGATATTTCGCTATTCAAAGGGGTTTTTAATCTAGTTTGTTGCTAGGTAACCGTTGCTATGAAGTGTCCGTAATGAGTTGGTGTAAATGGCCGTTACCTAGTTACCGGCGTGGGCTATTCTACGAATGTAGTACCCTATTGTGTGTGAGTTTTATATATAGGGTCACACTAAGAGTGCACTGTTGCTATATTTAAGCAGTCGGCCTGAGCGGTTGGTTTGAGCGATATTTGTTATACTGTCACAAGGTGAGTTTTAAACTATCGTTTCAAATATATTGTTAATAATTAATGATAGTTAATTGGTAGTAATGTACTTATTTAGCACGGCTTTAACGTTTTTAGCGATCAAAAACTCATTTAAAGAGATTCAATGGAAAGTTAATACATTGACATTAGTGTACCCACAGAATCTGTTCAAAGCGAATTCCTAAATGCCGGTCGAAAAAATTAATATTAGCGAGATAAAACGACAAATAGATCCTGTTTTACAACATTTAATGACTTTAAATGTATTAGATTAATATCAGTTCATACACAGTGTCTTTGCCATCGATAATATTAATATTATTCGAATTGATATTGCAAATCAAAATATTACGTGAATTTATGTTTTTACCACTAAAGTACTTAAAACTAGTAAACCGCCGTTAATATTCTCTGTTACCGTAATTACTATTTGTGACACAATGCACAATAGCGTCAATAAATGATTTTAGTGAAGTAAAAGAAAAGAACTTGATAGATAAGTAAGATTAATTGTTTGTTAATTGCTTTGTAATAAGTTTAAATCATATGAACGCGTGCTTTAATGGTATTTTCAGTTCAACATAATTGCGGAATAAAAAAACTGAACTGAAAAGAAACTGGTGCTTTTTTGAACTAAATTGAAAGAAAGATTTCGCAACATATATTGAATAAAAAAATTACACATGTAAAAACAATCCCAACAAGCCTAGCTATGTGCCGTGTGAAAATTATAAAAATTATTAATTGTTCGGCACGGGTCTTTCAATAATCTGTCACGTGGATTGAACGCGCCTAAAATCATTGCAGCTAAACTGCTGTACTTAATTTTCCAGGTAGTACTATTACTTTCCAGACTAATATAGGATGAAGACTTTACTGTTCCTGGTTGTTGGAATTTTGTTGATAAATTG